TCCATCCATTTACTGGCAAATGCCATAATTCCATTCTTCTTTATGGCTAAGTAATATTCCATTTTGAAATATGTACCACATTTTTTTTATTCATTTATCTATTAAAGGGAACCTTAGTTCCATAGCTTAGCTATTGTGAATTGAGTTGCTATGAACATTGATGTGACTGCATCACTGTAGTATATTGATTTTAAGTCCTGTGAGTAAAGACTGATGAGTGGAGTAACTAAGTTGAATGATGGTTCCATTCCAAATTTTCTGAGGAATCTCCACACTGCTTTCCAGAGTGGTTGTACCAATTTGCAATCCTACCAAATCCTTGCCAACATTATTGTTACTTATATTCTTTATAATTGCCATCTGACTAGAGTGAGATGGAATCTCAGTGTGGTTTTAATTTGCATTTCTCTAATTGCTAGTGATGATGAACATTTTTTTCCATATATTTATTGACCAGTTATATTTCTTCTGTGAAGTGTCTTTAATTCCATTTCTTTAGTAGATATGGCCTTTTTAGATGGTCTGTTTCTTCTTTTGTGTTTTGGTAGATGGTATCTTTCAAAGAATTGGTCCATTTCATCTAAGTTTTCAAATTTGTAGGCATAAAGTTATTCATAATGTTCCTTTATTATCTGTTTAACATCTCTGAGATCTGAAGCAAAGTTTCTCCCTTTCATTTCTGATATTAGTAATTTGTGCCCTATCTTTTTTCTAAGACTGGCTTATTGATTTTATTTATATTTTCATGATACTAGCTATTGTTTTTTTGTTGGTTTTCTCTATTGATTTCCTGTTTTCAATTTCATTTATTTCTGCTCTACATTTTATTATTCCTAACTTTCTCCTTACTTGGATTTCATTTACTTTGTTTTTCTACTTTCCCAAGTTGAAAGCTTAGCTGACTAATTTCAGATCTTTATCTCTTCTAACATATGCACTCAACACCAAAAATTTCCCTCTTGAGAACTGATTTCTCAATATTGCATGAATTTGTTACATTTTCATTTTCATTTAGTTCAAAACATATTTTAATTTCTCTTCATATTTCTTTAACATGCATTATTCAAAAATGTGTTGTGTAATCTCCACATATTTTGGGATTTTCCATTATCCTTATGTTATAGATTTCAGCTTAATTCTGTATAATCTTCAGAGCAAACAATATATGATTCCTATTTTCTTAAATTTGTTTAAGTATGTTTTATACCCAGAATGTAGTCAATTTTGGTGACTATTCCATATGAGCATAAGAATGTGTTCTCCTGTCATTGGATGAAGTAGTCTATAGATGTCCATTTTCTTCAGTTGAGTTCAACGGTGTACACTGACTTTCTGTCTACTAGATCTGCTTATTTTTTTTTATAAACAAGGGGTGAAGTCTCCAACTAGAATAAAAAATGGATTCATTTATTTGTCCTTGAAGTTCTATCAGTCTTTTTCTCATGTAGTTTGATGCTCTGAGTTATTAGGTGCATACACACTAAAAATTGTTATGTTTTGTAGGAGAATTGACATCCTAATTGCTGGTTCCTTTCCTTTTCCCTAAAATTTTTTCTGATTAATAATATGACATATTTTATACTTTCTCTGTCTCTTTCATATATATATATATATATATATATATATATATATATATATATATATATATATATAGTGTATTTCTCATAAACTATATAATTGGGTCTTATTTTTTATCCCTCTGACAATTTCTTTCTCTTAATTGGTATATTTAGATTATTGACATTTAAAGAGCTTTTTGATGTAATTGGATATCTACTATATTTATTACTGGGTTTTATTCATTGTCCTTACCCTTTGTTCCTGTTTTTGTCTTTTCACTCTTTTTCTGCTCTCATGGATTTGACTGAACATATTTGTATAATAACATATTTGTATAATTCCATTTTATTTTAAATATAATTTTTTCTCCTTCTTTTCCTTCTCCTTTCCTCCTCCTCCTCCTCCTCCTCCTCCTCTTTCTCCTTCTCCTTCTTTTTCTTTCTCTCCTTTTCCTTCTCGTTCCTTTTTCAACTATTTTTAGAGATTGCCCTAGAATTTATAATATACATTTACAACTAATCTGAACTAAACTTTCAAATAACACAAAACAAAATCATGAGTAATGTGATAGCTTATAGTTAAAAGATGCTATTAATTCTTTCCTCTAGACCCTTGTTTATTGCTTTATTATTTTACTTACATACATGCATACATAATATGCATATACATCTACCCAGGATCAAAGATGCCATTGATATTATTTTGAACAGTCTGTTATTTGTTGGATCGTTTACAAATAAGAAAAATAAGTTATTTCATCTTTATTTTTTCTTTCTTTGATTCTTTTTAAGGTAAAAATAAATATCTTACATATATGATTTTCCTTCTCTTTGAAGAACTTCTCTTAATATTTCTTGCAAGACAAACCTACTGACAACAAATTCCTTCAATTTTTACTTGTCTTGAAAAAGTTTTATTTCTTCTGCCCTTTTGAAGAGTAATTTTGCAGGGTGCAGAATTCTAGACTGGTTTTTAATTTCCTTTTTTTTTCTCCAACACTAAATATTTCACATTACTCTCCTGCTTACAGAGTATCTTAAAAGTCAGATGTAATTATTTTCTATAGATGTATAGGTGTGTGTGTGTGTGTGTGTGTGTGTCTCTCTCTCTCTCTGTGTGTGTGTGTGTGTGTGGTATTTATTGTTCCTGTTTTCAGAGATTCCAGAGTTCATGTTTTTTTTTTGTCTTATATTCATTTGGGAAAATCCTCAATGAATGTCACTTCAAATATTTCTTCTCTCCTTTTACCTTTTTTTTTTCTGCATGCCCATTATAAATGTTCCACTTCCGCAGTTATGCCACAGTTCTTGGGTATGCTCTTTACTTTTCTGTCTTGGAAGAAGTTTCTACTCACATATCCTCAAACGCATAGATTCTTTCTTTCTTTTTTTTTTTTTTTTTTTGGTACTAGGGATTGAACCTAAGGGCACATAACCTAATTTAAGCCACATCCCCAGCCCTTTTCATTTTTTATTTTGAGACAGAGTCTCACTAGATTTGTTTACAGCCTTGCTAAATTGCTGAGACTGGCCTATAATCTCAGCCTCCGGTGTGCCACGGTGCCTGGCTCATAGATTCTTTTCTAACCATGTGCAGTCTTCTAATGAGCCTATCAAAGGTATTTTTTAATTTTTGCTATTGTTTTGATCTCTAGTGTTTCTTTTTGGTTCTTTCATAGAATGTCCATCTTTCGGCTTACATTACACATCTGTTTTTGCCTGTTGTTTACTTTATCAGACACAGCCTTTCGCATGTTAATCCTAGTAGTTTTAAAATCCCAGTATGATAATTCTAATATCCCTGCCATATTTTCTGTCTTTTAGTATGCCTTTGAATTTTTTCTTGAATGTCAGCCATGATAACAAAGGTAAAAAAGAATTGCTGAAAATAGGGCTTTAGTAATATGGTGGTAAGCTATGGGAAAGACTATGTGCCCATTAGTCCTAAAATCAGGAGTCAGTCTTTTAGTGAGTCTATGTCTCTGAACTGTGAACTTCACAGGGCTTCTCTGTTTGCCCTTAGTTGGGGTTGGATGGCTAGAGTGAATTGAAATTGAATATTTCCCTTCTCTCAGGTTGGTTAGTATCTGAAAAAAAAAAAACCCTGAAGTCTAGGACTTGGTATTATAGTTTCTCAGGAAAGTAGGCCTTGTGAAGAACAGAATACTCTGGTATATTTCAATATAATTCCCTTTTTCCTCTCCCTGCCAGAAGCCTGAGAGGATTTTTCTCTAATTTTTACTTGAGAACTTGGTGAGCTCTTGGAGACAAAATCTACACAATGTAGGGTGCTCCCCCTGTGCCTGGGCCCTTGGGTTTTAACACTTAAAGTAACCCATGCTGAGTCTCCAGAAATTTGTTAATGAAAGTTTAGGTCATTCTACCTTGGTATCAGGTGCCCTGGATGTTTCTGCATATGAATTTCAGTTCAGTATATTGTGATTCTCACTATCTACCTACCTGTCTCCCCAATTTGAAGGCGGCAGAATTACCCTGTGACCTCACATATCTGACGTATCTAAGAAAAACTCAACTATTGATTTTTCAATTTTTTCATTTTTTAAAATTTGTTTTTAGGATGGAATGACAACTTCCAAACTCCTTTTTGTCATACTGGGAACCAGAATCTTGATATATTTTTCTAAGAATCTTTCATGGGGTATAATTCACGTGCCATGAAACTTACCATGTATAAGTGTCTAATGATACGTTTATGTATTCAATGATACATAAAGATTGATTCATCAGTCTCTGTGCCCATTTGGTATCCCTGCTCCTACCACCGGCTCCTAGGCAACCACTGTTCTGCCTCTATATATTTGCCCTTTTGTACATTTCATATAAATGGAATCATAAAATATGCAAGGGTTTTTGTCCAGCTTTTGTCACTTAGCATAATGTTTTAGAAGTTTGTCTGCTGTAGCACAGATCTCAATGAATTTTTAAAGTTAAAAATTAAAATGCAATCATTGTTCTTTAGTTAATAACAAGCATTTAGCCAGATTGAAAATAAATCAGCCCATTATTCAAGTTCACCTTGCCATCTGGTGTATTATACACAAAATGTTATGGTTGTGCTATGTATGGCCAATACAAACTACTGGTTAGTTTAAACAATAATTTTAAAAGTATGAAGTTTAATTAACAAACCAACATTTTTCAAATTTAGTTATAGATGTAGCTGTATTGATCTATTGCAGTAGATCACAGTGATAAATGACAAATGAGCAAAACTGCTGTGAAGAGAACACGTCATATTCAGATTTGCTTGAGCAACTTCAGTTTCCTCCTGAAAAATCTGATTAACCTTGTCAAGCAAATGGAATATTTAACATCTAATTTTTTGGAAAACAAGTTTGAAAGTTTCAAGACTGTGATGTTTTATCATGATAAAAATTTTGAAAGCCACAAAATGTTCACTTATATAAACCATGTACTTACAAATTGTCCTCAAGTCTCTTCAAGGATTCCAAAACTAATGAATGAACACTGTCTAAGGAGCAGGATCCAAAGCAATTTAGGGATGGGATATATCTAATTTTCATAACCCAGTCATTATGTAGCTTCCTTTTAACACTGGGAATGCAAAAAGAGGGTAGAGTATTATGTTAGATACACAAACACATTTCAATTGAGCATCTAATTTGAGTAACTGAATTGCAACTCTGAGCCATGCTAAGAATACAGTTGTATGGGTTATGCCACTTTTAACTAACTAAAATTTCCTACTCTAGCCTATTTAAAATGAAAAAAAAAGTTTAAAAGATTCTCATCAACTTTTAAGCTATAAACTCAGAACTAAAGGAACAATTTGGAAAGATCTCAGTCTCTAATTGGCAATATCATCCTTACTTCACTGAAAAAATTCTGATCATCCAAGTGGTGCAGTACATTTCATATTGGTTTATGGCTTATGAATCAATTCAGCTGAAAAATACATCTGTATTTTCCATAATTTTCACAATTGGAGAAGTGGAAAATTTGAAATCCCAACCATTGGTGAAGGGGAGGCTAGAATACCCATTCAATTTCTTGTTCAAGGATTATCCTTCATTGCTTTACAGAGCATTTGAGTGGGAGGCTTAAAATCAGAAGTCTAAATCTCTGCCTCAAACATGTTGTCTTAACCAGGAATAAGCTATCCTAGGTGTTATAGTTATTCACATGTAATGATTTGTTTCCTCATTCACGTATATTAATGACCTACTTAACCTAGGTATCAAGGACATAAAGTGATGATGAAGATGAAATTCTTCTCACCATGTTGCTTAGATTCTAGTTGAACAGACATGTTTACAACTCAAGGTATAAAAGCTCTACAATATGGGATTAAGAAGAGGAGAGAGATACTTCTTTTTCTGTGCCAGATTTTGTTTAATTCTGAACTCAGGGTGCTGGCTATTTCTCTCTTTATTTTGTGTGTTAGTGTTTGCTACCTATGTCCCCACCCATTCGACACGAATGAATTCTTGTAGATGTCAACCACAAGAAAGCTTTTTTGATGACTCCAGAACTTAACTATCTTAAGCCTTAATATTTTTCATTCTGTCAAGTTTCAGGAACTCTTGGTATGGGAAACTGTCTCAACATTCAGCCTATATATACATCTGAGTTTTGAAAGATTTAGATAATCTACGATTGGATTGTCTACATGTAAATAATGATCCACAAGAACCAGTGTGAATTATCATTCATTTAACTGTACCCAGATTCCTCAAATTCCCCAGATTCCCAAATCTCATTTCTGATTATGCCTAATGGAAATAGGAACTGAAGAATGGGTCATGGGTTTTCTGACAAGTGGTATAGATCTCAGTAAAGATTCATGTCTCAGCTTTTGGTAAACCTTTGGTGAGGCTTACACTGCTCAGATATAAAGGGAAGAAAGTGGAACCAGTTTCTTAATGACTCTGTCATTCTTAGAGTTACAGCAATGGGGTTAGTCTTACAATTACAATGTCCATGTTTTTGAGTAGGGTAAATTGCACATTCTAACCCTACAAATTAACCCTATTTGTTACTTATTTGTATGACCCCACATTTTAAATTTTTTTCAATTATAAAAGAAAGATATTTGGGCTGGGATTGTGGCTCAGCGGTAGAGCATTTGCCTCACCTGTGTTCAGTTCTCAGCACTGCATATAAATGAATCAAGAAAATAAAGGTCCATCAACAACTAAAAAAATATATTTTTTTAAAAAAAGATGTTTTATAAAAAAAATCAGGAAGCAAAAAACAAACCAGAAAACAAAAATCATATTTCTGAAATATCATAGAGACTCATTGTTAATATTTTGGATAATTACACTTAATATTTGTCTAAATAAAAATACATATTCATGAACACAGATATGCAATGTATTTACAAAACTGGATTGATGCATTCATAGATAATTTTTTGTGTGTGGGTATGATGCTGGATATTGACCCCAGGAGTTTTCTTATTTTTTAGTTATAGATGGACACAATATCTTTATTTGTTTATTTGTTTATTTTTTTATGTGGTGCTGAGGGCCGAACCCAGTGCCTCACATGTGCAAGGCAGGCACTCTGCCACTGAGCGACAACCCCAGCCCCCAATTTTTTTTTCTTTTTTTTTTTTTGTGGTGCTGAGGATTGAACCCAGGGCCTTGTGCATGCAGGGCAAGCACTCTACCAACTGAGCTATATCCCCAGCTGACCCCAGGAGTTTTCACATACAATGCAATCACTCTACTATTGAGCCACAACTTCAGTCCCAGATAAATTGTTTTTCACTTAATATTATGTCATAAATATTTTTCAAAATATAATTTAATGGGTACATGGCATTCTTGAATATGGTTATCCCATGATGTAGTGGACATCTTTGATACCATAAAAGCTTTTGGGAGTCTGACAAAAAAAAATGTATCTTATACATAAATCTTATACATAAATATGGACATTTTATTAAAAATATAAATGTTCATTTATAGAAATTATATCTGAATTATTTATGTAAATTAATAATTTAATTAATCATTTCCCTATAATAGACATGAAACAATTTAATGTTAGAAATTATGCTGTGAAAACTATATTGATATTCTGAACTCCCAGGGATTTCAGGTCCCAATGTATAAATGTTTATTAGGCATTTGATATATCTTTCCCAACTGCTTTCTGGAAAATTTTATCTAATTCACACTTCCCCATTTTTAATAGTTTCTAATTTAAAATTTAAAAAATGAATCAGATTTTAAGTTGTACTCACTTGATGAAAAAGGAAATGCAAATTTTAATTCAAAATTTAACTTTTTCTACTAATAAAAGTAATATATGCCCTACTCAAAAACATGGACATTGTAATTGTAAGGAAGATGATAATAATCACCATTATCTTACTAGTTGGTGATAACTGTTAGCATTTTAGTATGAAAATCACTTTGAAGTGTTTACTGACCATTTATTTGTAAGATGTGTGCATAAGCATGAATTATCTGTTCATATCCTTTGTTCATTCTCTTGGAGAATTTTTGTTTTTAATTGAATTTTAAGACACATTAAAGAACGTTGACTTATTGTCTATAATATTTATGGCAGAATTTATTTGTTTTTATTTACCTTTTAAAAGGATATTTTTATGTCTTTGAGGTTTTATTTGGTAGTCAAGTCTATCAAACTTTTTCTTTAAATTCTTAGTTAATTGCTTTATGTTTAGAATCTTCTTTGAAGAGCTAGTAAAAAGCCATACATGTATATATAATTCAATTTCTATAAATATATCTTTTCTTGATTTAAATTTTTAATTTAACTCTTCAATCCATTCAAGTATCTGTAAGTTTTAGTTGCCAGAAGCACTTAAAATAGGAATTTCACATCATTACCCTAGTACATGTATGAAGACACAAATTTGTGTATGACCAGAGAAATGAAAAATTGTGCTCTATTTGTGTACTATGAACTGAAATGCATTCTGCTGTCATGTGTAACAAATTAATTAATTAATTTTTTTAAACAGGGAATTTGAATGGTTAATTTTCCTGTTTTCTCCTCTATTATATTGGAAGATTCTTGAGCCAAGAAATGCTTTTTGTTCAGCTTTGAATCTCAAATCTCTTTTATGGGGCTGGCATCTTATTTTCACTATATGTGTGTGCGTATAATTGAACAATGACTACAATTATTAAAACAAATGGACTACTTGTTACCTTTTAAAGTTCTTTGAGTCCAAGACCTGAGTTTGTAAATTCTTTTTGGTTTTTGCCTGCTTTAGTCCAAAGTCATCACTGTTAATTGTGAATCTGTTCACAAAACCACCATCATCTCCCAGAAGGATGTCATCCCGGCAGAGCTGGTCAGGCAGAGATGCCACACACACACACAGAAGGCAGTGATCCATGGGCTTTATGACATAGTAGTTCTCCTATAAACAAATGAATGCTTTTAATGAGCTATTGCATTAGTATTAATAAATACTAATAGGGCTGGGAGAATATGTGAACATATGCTTAGCATGCATAAGACACTGTTCAATCTCCAGAACCCCCCCAAAAAAATCCTATTATCCTTAGTATTTGATAAGTTTTATTTTCTGATATTTTTCATCTTAAATTCTCCCACACTGATAAAGGAATTTGAAAGAAAAAAAAAAGTTCACCAAATAGAAGTTAATGAACACTCATCATGAGCCCAGTATTGTGCTTTTGGGTGTTTTTGTGGGGAAAAAGGTGGAGTACCTACCTGTGTCTCATAATGAGATTTTATTATGTATTACTGTAAATAGTCTTCTCCTGGATTTGTAAAGAAATATTAACAAGAAGTATAAAAAGGTTCAGTAAAATGTCATACATGTACATATAATTCTATTTCTATAAATATATCTTTTCTTGATTTAAATGTTTTATTTAACTCTTCAATTCATTCAAGTATCTGTAAGTTTTAGTGGCCAGAAGCACTTAAAAAAGAGTGAAAACAGGACCCTGGGTTGCATACCATTGACATAAAACTGGGTAGTAAAAACAGAAAAACTAAATATCAAAGTTCCATGTATTTTATAAGGAGTTATCGGGAGAAGAAAATATCCTAACATTCAAGTTCATCCAGAAATAATCAACAAACATTAGTTAAGCTGACTTTGAACTATCCAATAGGTTCACTAATTTAGGCTACGATTGCTCTTCCAGAGAACTCTCTAAGAGAGAAGAAAAAAAATTAAATTTTTGTTATTTGTTCCATTTTCTTTAGAATGAATGAGAGTGGAACATGTTCAGAGGCTCCTTCAGGCATTAAACAAACAAACATTTACTGGACACCTGTGTGCCAAGAATTATTCCAGGCATAGGGTGTACAGTGATGAATAGAACAAAGTTTCTGACTTTGTGGAGCTGGCAGGCTAGTAGGAAGACAGCAGAGTACAACAGAGCACGTAACAGGACTTGCACCTAAGGAAATGAATTATAGCGCTGCACACAGCGTGAATAGCCCACTATAAGTCCCAGGGTCAGAAAAATGACCTTTGATTTAGGACCAGAATTGATGGAGAGAAAGGTAAAGAAGAGGTTGAGAGGAAGGAGCCCTCGAAGAAGATTAATGCCAAAAAAGTAGAAGGGCAAGAAACTGTGGAGCCTTGTCCTGGCCATGACAGGGGGAGATGATGTGCGGGATGCAAGGATTTTTGCCTTCAGAGAGTAAGAAGTAGGGGGGTGTTTCCAGTTAAATCTATGTATAGAAGGGCTTGAATTTGAAAAAGAACAAGTCATAGATTTAGTTTACTCAGGAAAGTAAAAGCAAGTCCATCTGCTGAGAGGGAGGGGGACTGAGAAAATAATGAAATTTTGGAATACTTATGAGGAATGGTTGAGTGAGTTGACAAAGGACAAGAACGAGATCAGACAGTGGCTGCTGAGAGCTATGTCTGCAGACCCTGAGTTGCAAATGATGCCAAATAGTGTGATTTGTGCTTTTCCACAGCAGTGCTTAGCTCCTGTGAATGGACAGAGAATATGTAACATTTATCCACATTGATAGGCAGACACTAAAGAGACTGGAGGGCGAAGATGACCAGCCCAGATGATCTTCCTAGTGGCACAGGCAGAAATAAAAGAGAAGTGTGAGAGGAACTGAAGTCTGGAGAAGAAACTTTCAAAAGGGACTGGAAACTTCTATGGGACTGAAAAAGAGTGAAAACAGGAAAGCTCGAAGGACCCAAGTCCAGGGTACTGAAGTTCAGGATTTCAGAAATTAATAAAGTCAGGTCTATAACTCAGAGAGAGTCACATACTATGTGACAAAGCACACTAAGCAACCAGCAGCCTTTTATTTTATTTTTAATTTTTTTTATAGTTGTAGATGGACAGCATGACTTTTTGTTTAGTTTTTTTTATGCATTGTTAAGGAAGGAACCCAGCGTATCATACATGCTAGGCAAGGGCTCTGCCACTGAGCTACAGCCCCTGCCCCAGCCTTCTGGCATCAGTAGTTGGTTACAATAGCAGGACAAATCGCACAAAATAGTTTAGTATCTCACTGAAGCTAGGAACATGTAAGGAATGGAAGAAGATTAAATAACTACTTCATCTACCATGTCCTTCAGAGTCAGCCTGAACCATGAAAAAAAAAATTTTATAGTCCTAATTCTCGGCAATCTTACTTCTCCCTGAGCCCCTATTGTAGTTGCATCTTTTTACTGTAGAATTTGATGTCCTTTTGTTATACATTGTGTTTATTCATGAGGTCCTTCAAGACTGAGTGGTTTTTGAAGGCAGAGAACATGTTCATTACTTCTAAATGTCTGCAAATTGCTCAGTCACAAAAGAGCTGCTTCATTAGACTTTTTTCCAGAGTTAGGCAGTTTGATTTTTGTAATTTTTTTTTTTTTTTTACCTAATGAAGCTGGACTGGAGAGAAAAGTGTGGGAAAGCATAACCAGAAAAATAATGCTTGGATTAAGAGAATGGGCATACAAGAGGAAAGGAATTACCCTCTCCTCAAAATCAAAACTAGGCAAAACCCCCTGAATTAAATATGCACTTAATGGGAAGAACATTTCCTTTTAATCACAGAATGTGAATACGGAACTTGATCTGAGAGGTTATTTAGTTAAGTCCTCTGATTTTGTGTATGAGGAAGGTGACCTTCACTACGGAAACTGTGTTGTTCATATTCTCACCAATACAAATTGACACTCTCATTTCTTTTGAGTATTTCTCTTGGCACAGTACCTGGCTGTTCCCTTGAGCTTTATAATCCCAGACAATGATAGTCCTTTCTGAAGTGGCAACAATTCGTTTCAGCTGGGAGAGGTAATCGCATCCTGTAATCCAGGAAGTATCCTGATAGAAAAGCACAGAACTAGGGGTCATAATGCATTTCCCTCCTGTGACATGGTGGTAGATACTAAGGAGTAAGTTATTGATGTTAAAAAACCCAGTTTGCAGAGAAGCCATCAGCTGGAGAGTGATTCAGCTGGTGTAGGTGCTGCTTCTGGCAGCACACTGCAGCTGAAAGAGCTGCCAATTTTTGCGCTATTCACTTTTTTTGAGACTTCTTCACAGTGAGCACAGGGAGCTAGATTTGGGGCACTGATTACACAGGTTCTCTGGCCCTGGTGCATGCTCAGACTATTAACTAGCAATCACTTGACAATGATAAGCTGAGGCCAAGGAGTTTGTCTTGTGTTTTGCCAAAAGTCACCAAGCTAGCATAGCTGGAATCTGTAATATCAACACCAACACCCCAGGGAACAGAAGCAATAGTTTCCACTTATGAATGCCTGGTGTGCCAGAAACTGCTCCATGAGTTTCAAATGTGCCCTTGAATTCTGTAAAACCTGTTAGGAATTCTAAGTGGCTAAGAAATGGAAGCTCAAAGGTTTAAAGGAATGGAATCTCAGAGGTTTAAAGAGAATCCATACTCCTTTGCCACACAGCATGGCACCCTGCTTCCATAGTTCAGTGCATTCATTCAGAGCTTTTCCCTGTCTCTAATAAACCTATAAAGCAAATCACTGTAGTTTTATATCTGCTGAAGATTACTGTTCAGTTCACTGATAAGGATTAAATAATTACAAAATTGCACTAGAATTTTGATGCTATTTTTAAATTTAAAATAAAGTGCTCTCGAATTATTTCCACTGGCTGCCTCCTTGTTTTTATAATTTGCGTTGTATCATTTTTTATATCCTTCCGTAGTAGGTGCTCAGAAAAACTCAGGAGAACCTCTTAAATTGAAATTTCCAAGGAGTAATCAGCTTCCAAACAATTCTCTGCAGATAATTGAACTCCAGGAAGCAAGACCTGAGTTGTCTTTGTTATTTTTCCAGGTTTAGGGTTTTTCAATTTTAATTTCTTTGGTACTGGGGATTGAACCCATGGGTTTATCACTTAATCACTGAGACGCATTCCCAGCCCTTTTTTAGATTTAATTTGGAGACAGGGTCACACTGAGTTGCTTAAAGCCTCTCTAAGTTGCTGAGGCTGGCTTTGAACTCATCCTCCTGCCTCAGCCTCCAGAGTAGCTGGGATTACAGGAATGCACCACCACACTCGACTCCAGGTTTAGTTTTGATCCTAGTCAAAAAACAATCTATAAAACATAGTCACAGCCTGTTCAGGTACTTCACTGTGATTTTGATTAATTATGAAGGAATCATCATCACAACCTTAATTGGACTTTATTAGAAATTTTTAAAATGAACTTACTGTAACACTGGTGCTGGTCTGAACTCTCATCTGTGAATAAAGGAAGAGAATAATGAAACCTAGTTGCCCCTACAATTAGGAATGAGAATGCTGTCTATGAAAACACAGTGTCTCCTTGGATTAATCTCACTTATTTTATCTGCCATGAGTTACCTCTCTGTTTGACCTTGAATGATGTAGCTCAGTTTGCATTGAGCTAGGCTTATACGTCTTTGGCTTGTCCTTAGGCCTGGTGACTGTCCTCTTAAGAGTCTTACATTTGACTAATTATTTTGTTCCTTCTATCTGCAATCTACCTCACATTCTTATTTATTTAGAGCAACATTTGATACCAAAAGTTGGAAATGTAAATTCTAACAGCAATGACAAGAGTAATTCAAATAATGCTAATGAGATCAATAGGAACATAGGGTTATATAGAAGAATCTAGCACTGTTTGATTTGGAAGATCTCTCTCCAAGTTATTGAGAGACTTAGAGAACATTCTGTTGAGGGGACCTCCTTGTTTATTCAGTAAGTATCTGCAGAGTGATTATGCCCAGGGGCTGAGAATCATAGATTGGTTCCATGCAGAGAAGTGGTAGATATAAGACTCCTCCATATCTGGGAGGGATGATAACTGCTCCCAAGATGAGGACTTGGAGTTGAAGTATCTTAATTACCCAGTTTTTTTATTTGTTTGTTTTTGGGTTTGTGGGGGAAGTATCTTAATTACCCAGTTTTTTTATTTGTTTGTTTTTGGGTTTTGTGGGGGGGGGTTGAGGGAAAAGATGCACAATATCTAGGATATGGCTTCTCAGAAGGAGTAGATTACGTGAAATAGGAAAAGTGCGTCATGGAGAGCTGTGAAGCTGTTTGTCATAGCCATCCAGAGACTTTCATCTGAAGAGTTAAAAAAGGATTTTCCAACCAGGGACTTATTTCTAGATGGAAAAAGAAAGTGCTGAAAGGAAACTGGTGAGCAGCAGAACAGAACCCCTGTGTTTTCCTCTTCTATTCATCTATATCCATCTTTAGTGGAAGTCACCTGCTTAAAGCTCTCTCACCTTTCTTAAATTCTCATAATCCTACGACTATCTTCTGAGTTTTTTTTTTAATTTTTTTTAGTTGTAGTTGGACACAATGTCTTAATTTTATTTATTTTTATGTGATGTTGAGGTTAAACAACCTATATATTCTGAGTTTTTAAAATCTAGCTTTGGTTTCAAGAATTTTTCTTAATGACATTTCCAGTCTATATCACCGAGAACATTCCTAACTATATTTGTTCTATTTCAGCTAGAGTCTAAATTATCAATTAACCTAATAAAAGATATTTGAAGCTACAGTCCAAATTATCATTTAACCTAATAAAGGACATTTGAAGCTATGAATGGCTAACTTTACTAAATTGTCCCCATAATATATACCTCCAGATTACTTTCTTTACACAATATACATCTTATTCATAAGGCATGTAACACTGGAAATATTTTTTATTCCTGGTGCATTTTATTCCGATTACATTATCTTATAAGAAATTGATGTGAGAGTGTGCTTGTGAGTATGCATATGTGCACTTATAAGCTTGTGTGTGCACTTTTGTGCATGTATGAAGCATATTTGGAAATATGATAATGCCACCTTATTTCACATAGTCAGATCATTATTTTCCTCTTCAATTGTTTTTTAGATACCTTCTTCATTCTGTTTTTGAGAAAATAAAGGAGAAATGAGAGGGAAAAGATGCACAAAGAAGGGCCTGGAGTTGTGGCTCAGCGGTAGAGCACTTGCCTCGCATGTGTGGGACCCTGGGTTCGATCCTCAGCACCAAATAAAAATAAATAAACCAAATAAAGGTATTGTGTCCACCTACAACTAAAAAAAAAAGCATTAAAAATGCACAAAGAAAAAAAGAAATCACTTAATGTGTGCTTATAATGATGTTAAGCCCTTTGTGTATATTAAATGATCTAACTAACCAACACAACTACCAGAGCAGGGAAATACGGAGTACTGTGAACAGCTGGCTTTGCACCAGGCTGGAACCCCGATTTCACACCCACTCCATATCCCCAGTGTACCAGCTTCAGGGCCCAGCTGGCCCCTTCCTCTGACAGAAGCTGACTGCCTGGGCTGGGAGTTGTGGCATACCCCTGCAATCTCAGCAGCTCAGGAGGTTGAAGCAGGAAGATTACAACTTAGTGAGGTGTTGCTTCAAAATAAAAATGACTGAGGATATAGCTCAGTGATATGCCTAGTACTGCAAAAACAAACAAAACAAAAAATAGGAAGAGGAGTAGGAAAAGAAGAAGAGGAGGAAGACTCATCATCATTATATGGCTGATTGTGATTTCAATGTTTAAAAAATGCCTTGAGTTGAGCGTTACTGAAATATGAAAATTATTTTGGAAATTTTAGTCATATATTGATTATTTTAAATGTATTTTACTTGTATACAGCTTGTCACTAATTGGAAATAAATTAATAGATTTTTAAATATATTTAACACCAAAAATTCACCTTTTTTCATAGTTAAATGTTATATAGGATATATCATCATACATTCTTTTAAAATCTCTTTTATTTTAAAAATAGATTTATAAATTTAGAAATAACATTGATAATAGCAATGCCTTACATTTGTATAGTAATTTATCATTCATAAAGTGCTTCTATGTTCACTATTTCATTTAATCTTCACTATAGTCCTCTGAGAAAAAGAACTGGTTCTATTTCCCTCATTTTATAGAAACAAAAATAGAATATAAAGATAAAAATTATTCTTTAAATTTCCTATGTCTAATAAAATAGAGGAGACAGAATTTGAGCCATTTTATTTCCTCAATGACCAAGGTTTTTGATGGGACTTTACTTGGTCAGGTAATGACAAAATTGGTTGGCTTGGAAATGCTTCTGATCAACCTTTAATTGTGTTGATGCCACATGATTCAATATGACACCCTGAGTAACCATGTCAAATGTAATTATCAAAACTTCAAAAATTGCCCAAGTGCTCCTTATGACTAAGTATTTGGCTTTATTTTTGGAATAACTCTAAAGTTTTGGGTTCTGTTTTACCTGAAACATTTGCATAATGCATAGACAAAGCCTAAGAGAGAAAAGAGGGATGGAAGGAAAAATCTAAGATTTCAAATTACCTGGCTGTTAAAGATAGTTATTAGGCCTTTCTGTGAAGCAGTTATTAATAAATCCAATTGAGGAACCTTGACAATGCACTTGATCACATCCCGTCTTCTACTACCTGTCAATAGCATAATATTAATTTCAATTTCCAGCACTGAAGACGCTAAAATTCATTTGTTAAATCAGTCTTAAAAAGAGAAAGAAAAGACAACAGTGTTTTGCCAGGAAGTCCCAAATTACTTAAAAACTAAAATAGAATAAAACCATAAACCCCAGCAACTGTAGCTTTTTAATTATCCTTAGAGATAGATCTAAATATATAGAGCTTCCCAACAAAATGTGGTGCATGAATTCACAGAGAAAATGTAAGATACACACCCACACACCATACATATACCCTATGTGTGCACATTTCACAGAGAATGAGTTTTCTAAACATCTTTTGAAATCACTTCTATTTTGAGATTTTTCACATCTCAGGAATCTTTTCTGTCACCATCATGATTTACAGAAGAAAATTTATAGACTGAATATCCAATACTATTTCAGAATTTCTTATATAAAAGAATGAAACTATTTCAGTGCTATTATTAAGTCTTTTTAAAAATTGTGTACGTTTGGGGGAAAAAAACAAACCAACTTCTAGACTCTGATGTCATTCTATGGTCACATACTAAATGATAAAGCCATGTATATTGGACTCTTTTGGATGATTTAGCTTTTATAGTTGTAAACTCTTAGGAAAGGCAAATGAACAAATCTCATGCTCCAGTGTTACCACAACATGCATGCATCCGCAGAGAAGTCCCCACAGGGGTGCAAATTGGTCATTGGGGGGTTGTAAATAAATCGTACTCTTTCTGTGTACAAAGCACAGGTGTACATATAGTATATAATCAGATATACATAGTAATTAATATCTAAGGTATTAAAATGTCATGTAGCACGGTTGCTGGGGGAGAAAAGGATATTAAAGAAATCTTTTTATAAACAGGTTCCTTCGGGATCATTAATGAAAAAAAGATTGAAAAACACACTATTCCATGCCCCTATGATTCTCTCTGCTTCTACTTCTTCCCCAATGTAGACTATTTTCTACATAGAAGGCAGAAAAGCATTTAAAGAACAACTCATATCATGCCTCTTCTCTATCTACAGCTTTCTTATAGCTTTCCCTCTCTTAGAAATAGATCTGAATATATAGAGCGTAAATGTAGTGTATTGTCCACAGATTCCTGTACATCTATCCTAATGTCCACTCTTGCCTCTTCAAACTCACTATCCGCTATTCTTGCCTTGTCACACCATTCCACTCCATATCTGCCTGAAATACATGCTCCTTGTTCTCTCTTTCTCCAAGTTTTTTATTCACTTCTCAGTGGGGGTTTCCCCAACCACCTTTCTGTCTCCCAACCCTAACCCAATTTCTTCTTCCTACATTCCTGTTTTATTTTTCTCTAAAATATGATTATTTTTTCTCCTCTGGCACTTATTGCCACCTGACATACTGCATATGTTACTTTGATTTTTCTGTTGTTGTCTGTATCTCCCCATGAGAATGTAATCTCTATGAGGTCAGGGACTTTGTATCTGTCACTGCTGTGTCCCCAGCACTTGAAGAGGTACCCAGTGCACCTTTGTGGATCTTAACACAGATTAGTTGAGAGATAAATGAACTACATCTGCCATCTAGAAAAATGCTTTCAAAGTTCTTACTAAGGATGCCTGCAACACTTCTCCTCTGCACTCTGACCCTTCCTCAGCTCAAGAGCAATGATGGCCAGAATAGTCCTTTTTCATCTGTTTATTTGGCAATAGTTCCCAGGGTAGAGGCTGGGCTAAGGAAGGGTAAAAGCCAAAAGTGGGCTTTGTTCTCAAAGGACTGAAGTAAATCCAGGTGCTTTGGTAAAGGACCATTAGACTCAACCTGGACTACCCAGTTCATCTTTAAATATGTGATGGAATGCTAGAAGACAGTATATTCAAGGGTATATCTTTCCCTGAACTTCTCCCAACCTGGATGAGATAAAGGGTAAAAAACCCAAAGTGTCAAAAGCAGAGAGGATTGGAAATCCCCAAATCCCAAGCTCAACTATGAAGCCCCATGTAAATTGGTAACTTTCTAAATGGATTAATATCTCTCTCCATGATTGGGTAAACTCAACTTTGGACATGTCAGCAAACCTCCCTAAGATAATTGAGAGTAAAAGTATGGGGGCACTTCTAAACTGAAAACATAATTTCAAGAATTAATTTTAAAGACTCATGATTCCATTTGGTACTAGAGCATGCATTATTGAGCTCATTATTGAGCCGCTAATGTAAAGAGGTTTAACTTGAGGTCTGAGCCTATTCAAGAATACTTATATTTTTTCACCTCACATTCTTAATGTTGTTGGAGCAATGATATTTCAGTTTTATCTGCAAGTGTAGTTTCTTCCTACAACTTCATATGAAATTGTCACTTCCAACCCCCAGTTATGAAAAAATGAGCAAGAAAATAAAATGAAAGGTGATTCAATGGAAACAGTGAGTTCCCAATACTGATGTATTGGAAAAAAATATTACAACTCATACTAGAAGGTAAACTAAGGAATATCACCTGAAATAATAATTCGCTGTTTTCTAGACACAAGGAAAACCAAATTTTCTTCATCCATGTGGGAAGTAAGAGCATCATCTTCAGAGAAGTATCCAAAGATCTAAAAATCCCAAACAACACATATAGACATGCATAATATTTTAGAATTAACTGCAGAGTAATAACAGAGTTGATATATTTTTTAAATTTTATTTATTTATTATTTATATATGACAGCGGAATGCATTACAGTTCTTATTATACATATACAGCACAATTTTCATATCTCTGGTTATATACACAGTATATTCACACAAATTAGTGTCTTCATACCTGTACTTTGGATAATAATGATTGTCCCATTCCACCATCATTAATAACCCATGCCCCCTCCCTTCCTCTTCAACCCCTCAGCCCTATCTAGAGTTCATCCATTCCTCCCATGCTCCTGCTCCCTATCCCACTATGAATTAGCCTCCTTATATCAAAGAAAACATTCGGAGAGCCGCCCCCTCCCCCTGCACCGGCAAGGTAGAGGGAACTGTGACCACGCACAGAGCAGGCCCAGCGGCCTGCTGAGGGGCAGAGCCGCCCCCCACCCCCTGCGCCTGCCAGGTAGGGGAACTGTGACCACGGACAGAAAAGGCCCAGTGGCCCGCGGCGGGACAGAGCTTCCAATCACTCCTGCAAGGTAGGCGGGCCTGCGACCCACCGGCAGAAGAGGAGCAGCGGCCTGCTGAGAGGCAGAGCCGCCCCCTCCCCCTGCACCGGCAAGGTAAAGGGAACTATGACCACGCACAGAGCAGGCCCAGCGGCCTGCTGAGGGGCAGAGCCACCCCCCACCCCCCGCGCCTGCCAGGTGACCACCGACAGAAAAGGCCCAGTGGCCCGCGGTGGGACAGAGCTTCCAATCACTCCTGCAAGGTAGGCGGGCCTGCGACCCACCGGCAGAAGAGGAGCAGCGGCCTGCTGAGAGGCAGAGCCGCCCCCTCCCCCTGCACCGGCAAGGTAGAGGGAACTGTGACCACGCACAGAGCAGGCCCAGCGGCCTGCTGAGGGGCAGAGCCGCCCCCCACCCCCCGCGCCTCCCAGGTAGGTGGAACGGTGACCACCGATAGAAAAGGCCCAGTGGCCCGCGGCGGGACAGAGCTTCTAATCACTCCTGCAAGGTAGGCTGGCCTGCGACCCACCGGCAGAAGAGGAGCAGCGGCCTGCTGAGAGGCTGAGCCGCCCCCTCCCCCTGGGCCGGCAAAGTAGAGGGAACTGTGACCATGCACAGAGCAGGCCCAGCGGCCTGCTGAGGGGCAGAGCCGCCCCACACCCCCCGCGCCTGCCAGGTAGGGGAACTGTGACCTCGGACAGAAAAGGCCCAGTGGCCCGCCGCGGGACAGAGCTTCCAATCACTCCTGCAAGGTAGGCGGGCCTGCGACCCACCGGCAGAAGAGGAGCAGCGGCCTGCTGAGAGGCAGAGCCGCCCCCTCCCCCCCGCGCCTGCAAGGTAGACGGAACTGTGACCACCATCAGAACAAGCCAGACCTGCAACCTAGAGACAGAACAGGCCCAGTGGCCTGAGGAAGGGTAGAGCCGCCCCCCTCCGCGCCTGCAAGGTAGGCGGGCCTGCGACCCACTGGCAGTACAGCCCCAGAGGCCTGCAGAGTGGCAGTGCCGCTGCCTGCGCCTGCAAAGTAGACAGAACTGTGACCACCGACAGAACAAGCCTAGCGGCCCGCAGAGGGACAGAGCTGCCGCCCACGCCTGCGAGGGAGACTTTGCAACTATACAAGACCAATATAAATATATAGGGGGAAAATTCAATAGCACAACAGTTTCACCAAGTATAAAGGAACGCGAACAGTATGAAGAGACAAGGAAAGAAAGGACCACAAGCATTGCAGGTCAACTCAACGTTAGAAGAGGTAATAGCTGCATCAGATGGAATGTCAGATAAAGAATTCAGGATATACATGCTTCAGATGATCTGGAGTCTCAAGGAAGACATCAGACAGCAAAATCAGACAATGAAAGATCACTTCAACAATGAATTACATAAACAAATCCAAGAAGCAAAAGATCAACTATACAGGGAAATAGAGGTTATAAAAAACAAACAAACAGAAATCCTAGAAATGCAGGAAGCAATAAGCCAACTTAAAAACTCAATTGAGAACACTACCAGCAGAGTAGAACACTTAGAAGACAGAACATCAGACAATGAAGATAAAGTATTTCAACTTGAAAAGAACATAGAAAGCTCAGCAAGACTGTTAAGAAACCATGAGCAGAACATCCAAGAAATATGGGATAACATCAAGAGACCAAATTTAAGAGTCATTGGGATACAGGAAGGGACAGAGTTTCAAACCAAAGGAATGAGCAATCTATTCAATGAAATAATACGAGAAAACTTCCCAGACTTGAAGAATGAGACAGAACCCCAAATCCTAGAAGCCTACAGGACGCCGAATGTGCAAAATCATAAGAGACCCACACCTAGACACATTATAATGAAGATGCCCAACATACAGAATAAGGAGAGAATTTTAAAAGCTACAAGAGAAAGGAAGCAGATCACGTTTAGGGGTAAGCCAATCAGGATAACAGCTGATCTTTCAACACAGACTCTGAAAGCTAGAAGATCCTGGAATAACATATTTCAAACACTGAAAGAAAATGGGTTCCAACCAAGAATTGTGTTTCCAGCGAAATTAAGCTTCAGGATGGAAGATGAAATTAAAACCTTCCACGATAAACAAAAGTTAAAAGAATTTGCAGCTAGAAAACCATCTCTTCAAAACATCCTTGGCAAAACATTACAGGAAGAGGAAATGGAAAATAACAATGAAAACCAACAGTGGAAGGTAGGACACTAAAGGGGGGAAAATAATCAAAGAGGAAAACAAACCATGTTTAGTAACACAAATAAACAAATATGGCTGGAAGAACAACCCATATCTCAATAATAACCCTAAATGTTAATGGCTTAAACTCACCAATCAAGAGACACAGGCTAGTAGAATGGATCACAAAACAAGACCCAACAATATGCTGCCTACAGGAGACGCATTTGATAGGAAAAGACATACATAGGCTGAAGGTGAAAGGTTGGGAAAAATCATATCACTCATATGGACTTCGGAAACAAGCAGGAGTATCCATACTCATATCAAATAAAATAGATTTCAAGCCAAAGTTAATCAAAAGGGATAAAGAGGGACACTACATACTGCTCAAGGGAACCATACACCAACAAGACATAACAATCATAAATATATATGCCCCAAACAATGGTGCAGCTATGTTCATCAAACAAACTCTTCTCAAGTTCAAGAGTCTAATAGACCACCATACAATAATCATGGGAGACTTCAACACACCTCTATCACCACTGGACAGATCTTCCAAACAAAAGTTGAATAAGGAAACTATAGAACTCAATAACACAATTAATAACCTAGACTTAATTGACATATATAGAATATACCACCCAACATCAAGCAGTTACACTTTTTTCTCAGCAGCACATGGATCCTTCTCAAAAATAGATCATATATTATGTCACAGGGAAACTCTTAGACAATATAAAGGAGTAGAGATAATACCATGCATCCTATCTGATCATAATGGAATGGAACTGAAAATCAACGATAAAAGAAGGAAGGGAAAAGAATACATCACTTGGAGAATGAACAATAGGTTACTGAATGATCAATGGGTTATAGAAGACATCAAGGAAAAAATTAAAAAATTCTTAGAGATTAATGAAAACACAGACACAACATATCGGAATCTATGGGACACATTGAAAGCAGTTCTAAGAGGAAAATTCATTGCTTGGAGTTCATTCCTTAAAAAAAGAAAAAACCAACAAATAAATGATCTCATACTTCATCTCAAAATCCTTGAAAAAGAAGAGCAAAACAACAGCAAAAGAAGTAGAAGGCATGAAATAATTAAAATCAGAGCTGAAATTAATGAAATCGAAACAAAAGAAACAATAGAAAAAATTGACAAAACTAAAAGTTGGTTCTTTGAAAAAATAAACAAAATCGACAGACCCTTAGCCATGCTAGCGAAGAGAAGAAGAGAGAGAACTCAAATTACTAACATACGGGATTAAAGAGGCAGTATCACAACAGACACTTCAGAAATACAGAAGATAATCAAAAATTATTTTGAATCCTTATACTCCAATAAATTAGAAGATAGTGAAGGCATAGATAAATTTCTTAAGTCATATGATCTGCCCAGATTGAGTCAGGAGGATATAGACAACCTAAACAGACCAATATCAATTGAGGAAATAGAAGAAACCATCAAAAGACTACCAACTAAGAAAAGCCCAGGACCGGATGGGTATACAGCAGAGTTTTACAAAACCTTTAAAGGGGAACTAATACCAATACTTTTCAAGTTACTTCGGGAAATAGAAAAAGAGGGAGAACTTCCAAATTCATTCTATGAGGCCAACATCACCCTGATACCTAAACCAGACAAAGACACTTCAAAGAGAGAAAACTACAGACCAATATCTCTAATGAACCTAGATGCAAAAATCCTCAATAAAATTCTGGCCACTCGGATACAAAAACTTATCAAAAAAATTGTGCACCATGATCAAGTAGGATTCATCCCTGGGATGCAAGGCTGGTTCAATATACGGAAATCAATAAATGTTATTCACCACATCAATAGACTTAAAAATAAGAATCATATGATCATCTCGATAGATGCGGAAAAAGCATTTGACAAAGTACAGCATCCCTTTATGTTCAAAACTCTAGAAAAACTAGGGATAACAGGAACATACCTCAATATTGTAAAAGCAATCTATGCTAAGCCTCAGGCTAGCATCATTCTGAATGGAGAAAAATTGAAGGCATTCCCTCTAAAATCTGGAACAAGACAGGGATGCCCTCTCTCACCACTTCTGTTCAACATAGTTCTCGAAACACTGGCCAGAGCAATTAGACAGACGAAAGAAATTAAAGGCATCAAAATAGGAAAAGAAGAACTTAAATTATCACTATTTGCAGATGACATGATTCTATACCTAGCAGACCCAAAAGGCTCTACAAAGAAACTATTAGAGCTAATAAATGAATTCAGCAAAGTGGCAGGATA